TTGTTAGGTTTGAAGTACACAATATCTCAAACAGTTGCCAATTTGCTTTTTTAAAATTCCACCTAGATGATGATGAATCAGCAATTGGGTTGCTGGTTTTCAGAATGGTGGGAAAGTGATCGCTGCCACAGAGGTCATCATGGACCGACCATTCAAATTCATTTAATAAGTTGGCATCCGTAAAAGAAAGGTCAAGTGCTGAATACATTCCAGTAGCAGGATGTAAATAAGTGTTAGATTCATCGTTATATATGCATAAATTATTGTCGTTAATGAATTCCTCAAGTATCTTCCCTTTACTATTTGTATTTACGCTTCCCCATATAGAATTGTGGCCTTTCAGGTCCCCAATGATAATGCATGGTTTAGGGAGCTGATCGTAAAGTTGTTGAAGATCAGATTGTCGTAGTGACGTAGAGGGAGGGATATACAATGAGCACAGAGTAAATACAATGTTCATAGTTAGCCGGATGGCAACAGCTTGAAGATTTGTATTAAGAGGAACGGGGCTGTTAATGACTCCCTGCCGTATAAAAATAGAAGCCCCTCCAGAAGCCCTATCTCCTGGTTGAGAAAAGAAATGATGACAATTGTATTGCCTTAAGTCAAATGTGTCAGTAGGTTTAAGATACGTCTCTTGGAGACACAGTGCTGACGGTTTATAATCTTGAATCAACAACTGTACTTCATTTAAATTCTTTCTAAGTCCTCTGCAATTCCACTGGATTAGATTTAAAGATTGAGTCATGGAGGCTCAACTGGGGACCTAGTCAGTGAACGTGAGGAAGAAACGTTTCTTCCTCTCTCCTGAGACGGAGTCACCTCCATATCCAAAGGAGCAAATGCGTTTTCAATGGTTATGTCCGTAAAAGGGAGATTTCCAACTTTCGACTGTTTGTTTTGCCTTTTTTTTCTTTCCTTGTTTTTTGAATGTCTGATTTGTCAACATTATGCTCGGTTTGAACCACGATCTGATTAGTTTGTGTTTCTGAAGATACATTTTTTGGTTGAGTGTTTGAACTAAGACTGAGAGGCTGATCTGAAATTACCCAAGTTAACTCAGTCTGACACATGATAGATGAGGTTGGTACAGACCGGGTAACTACAGCAGAGTAGGACAAAGTGGTAGGATTCTGTGTCTGGCTTGCATACAGTTTCTTGGCTTCAAAAAAAGAAATGTTATTTTTGTATTTGATTTTGACTATTTCAGACTGTTCTTGCCACTCAGGACATGACTTTTAAGAGGCAACATGACTGCCTCCACAGTTTGCGCATTTCATGTCTTTTAGACAATCTGAAACATCATGGTGTTCACCACACCGATGACATACAACATGACTGTGACAAGATTTTGAGCCATGGCCAAATTTCTGACAGGTGTAGCATCGGAGTGGAGTGGGGATATACACCTCCACTCCGATATTCAAATAACCAGCCTTAATGGATCGTGGAACTGATGCACAGGCAAAAGTCACAAGATATGTGTTTGTGTTTTTAACAGTGCCATCAATGTTTTTTGTGAAACGTTTAATGGATGTGACCCCTTGATCTTCTAGTTCAGATTGAATTTCTTGTTCAGACATGTCGGACAGGCATCGATCTCTGTCTCGAATAATGCCCCGACATGAGTTAAGCGTTCTATGAGGGGATACTACCACCTCAATATTGGCAAACTGAGTGACCGAAACAAGATTGAGAGATTGTTGCTTTCTCTCACATTCCACTAGAAGTGAACCATTTCGAAGACGAGTTACATTTGTCACATCTCCGCAAATTCCAGAAACAGCTTTGGACACAGCAAATGGATTTAATTTGATAGGTTCATGATCAGAAGTCTAAATCACCAAGAACCGAGACCAGGATTCTACATTTTTTAAAATAGTTTCGTTGGAACCATCACGTTCCAAACGTCTCTTTTTTTCATATCGAGCGGAACCAGGGTAGTTTTGTGACATGGTGCAGGATATAAGTTCAACATCCCTGCTCCCCACCCGCCACCGAGTGTCAACAAGGACAGTGTTACATTGCACCGGACATCCAGGATGCAAACACCGAGGATACAGGGATGCTATCCTCCAGCAAGTATGACACGAAAAGCTGAATGGGTTTACCAAATTAAATGTCTGGCTGGTTCGGCCCATAACAAGTAACCAGAAACCTACAGATTTCGGAGGTCAACGTCACCAGATTGGCCCATGAGCCATCGCCTTCTGGCATGGTACTCTAGGCAAATAAATATAAGTACATTTCAAATAATAACATTCATATTCATAAATGCAAAACAATGCACAGCATTCAACATGAATATTTTCCATGCACAGGGCATGGCATGACCAGCCGATTGATAGAACCGGGCCGATTCTACAACCCGTCTAGGTGAAGAAAGGGCCGAAGTGGTGTGTTGGGCAATAGGAACACGGTTCCAGGCTCCTACTGCCCTCAACCACCAGGCTACCGTGCTCCACCGACACAGGGGCGCAACCCACGGCAAACAGGTTGGTGGACCAAATATACCCCCGGGTCCACAACGGGGGTTGAAGGGCGCTTAGCGTTACCCAGCACCCACCACGAGGAGGTGGCCCTTCACGGGTGCCGTATCTGTTAGTAATGTGTTACCCTCCTTTAGACGGTGAACACGAGATCCGGAACCTTTTCCTTTAAGTTTGTGTATCATTTTCCAAACTTTAGACATTGGCGTACTGGAGTTGATTTTAGATACATACTTGTGCCAAGATTGGCGTTTAGATTGCTTGAAGGTGCGTCGGACCTTAGCATTTGATATCTTAAATTTGTTTAAGTTGTGGACGGAGGGGTGATTGCGAAAATATTGTTCTGCCTTCCTCCTAGCTTTTCTAGCTTGTTTACAGTCGTCAGTATACCATGGCTATCGTATATGTGGATTTGTAGAGGATTTAGGAATAGTTTAATTTGCAATTGTCAATAATTCTTCTGAAAAGATCTGAATCGGGTCAGAAGTATTGAAAATTGATTCAGGTGTAATTGTACGCTGGCATAAAGTCTCAAATAAAGATTAATTTGCCTTTGTAAAATAATTATATCTTGATGAAGGTGGAGTATCAGCTGAATGAACAAGTGAAAGTAAAGTTGGAAAATTGTCACTTCCACAAGAGTCATGATGAACTGACCATTCGAATTCGTTGAGCAGTCTTGAATCTGTGAGCGACAAATCAAGTGAGGAATATGTGCCTGTAGTAGGGTGTAAATAAGTATGTGAATCATCATTAGAAACGCATAAATCATTATTTTGATAATAAATTCCTCTATGACCTTGCCCTTAAAGTTTGTGTGTGTACCACCCCAGAGCGGGTTGTGGCCATTCAGATCACCCATGATGACACATGGTTTAGGTAATTGATCATACAATGACTGAAGGTCAGATTGCTGAAGAACGAAAGAGTGAGTGAGTGAGTGAGTTATTATTTAACGTCACATCGGCAATATTTCAGCCATGTCGTGACGAGAACATATGTGACATTGAAATGGAATAGATGTATATTATAAAAACCTGTCGACGAAGGACAGTAAAACAACTAGAATATCACAATTACAACTAAAACAAGAGTGGAAAATTAAAACTAATAGCACTATTTGGACAACAAAATATAACAACTGGCTATAGATCGCCAACAACTGAAGGTAGATCACCAAACTAGGGACCGTGGGGACTTACAGTACTTCTGCTACCTGCATCGACCCTAGTTGGATTTATATCACCCTTCAGCCGCTGGCGATTGAAGTCAAAAGTAGCCAAAATTAAAATGACAAGAATACTACATTTAAAACAGCTGGTAATATTTAGATTTCCTTTGAATGTTTCGGGATTTACGTACACTCTCAGGAGGACAATAATTTTACGCAACTTCAACCCCCTTTGAGGGTACAGCCACAAACAATCTCAGTTACTAATCTAAACTAGCAATAATAATGTAAATAATATGCATCTATTTACAAATCAGTTAACAAGTTTAATTCTTTTAAAAATGCAATAATTAAATGAGAACTTATATTACTAACAATATTCTTCATAGTTTGTGATTTGAAATAGATATCCCTTGTGATGGAATATTCAACACAGTCAAGCAGGACATGCTTGACCGTGATTCTTTCATCACAAGGGATACAAAACGGAGGATCCTGACCATTTAATAGGTACTCATGAGTATATCTTGTGTGGCCAATACGACATCGTCGTATGATGACCTCTTCAAATCTGGACTGACAACCCAAGTAGGTGTAACCAATAGTTGGTTTTATTGCATGTAATTTATTGATACCTACTTGGGTGTCCCACTTCTTTTGCATCAGATAACGGATTTTAGATCTAATAGCACCTTTGTAATCAGAGTATGGGATCAAAATCGGTGTCACATATTTGTTGAGTGCTGCCTTAGCAGCAATATCGGCCATTGTGTTCCCAGAAATGCCAACGTGGCTGGGTAACCAACAAAAGACGATGTCACATTGGCCAGTAGCAAGCTCATAATACAATTCAATAATTTCTAATAAAAGTGGATGTTTACAAGAACGATTTTTAATAGCCTGAAGACACGAAAGAGAATCGGAAAATATTATGTATTGTTTATATTTACGGTGTTTATTAATATATTTAAGAGCTGTTAATATGGCGTTAGCTTCTGCTGTGAAAATAGAGCTGTTATTTGGTAGTCGAGAAGATATTGTTCTGGATCCAATGACAGTGGCACATGCCACCGCGCCACCATCCTTGGATCCATCTGTAAATAAGGATTTGTATGTATTATATTTATTTTTTAATTGATTATATTCTTGTTTATTTTGTAAGTCATTAGTTACAGATTTCTTAAACTTTGTCAGAGTTAGATCAACTTCAGGCCTCACCAATTGCCAAGGAGAAGAAGAAAGAAGACGGGAGGGGGCTATATTTTCCAGCTTAATGCCGGCAGCAGAAATGATTGGTTTAATTCTCAAACCAAGAGGCGGAACAAGAGAAGGCTTTTTGTTGTACAGATCCTCATAAAGAGGATTAAAAACACAGTTAAATGCAGGATTTGACTCATTAGAATATAGTTTTGTCAAATACTGCCAGAATAATTTTATACGGCGTTGTGTAAGCGATGGCTCATCGGCCTCGACGTAGAGACTGTCAACAGGAGAAGTTCTAAAGGACCCAAGACAAAGTCTTAGACCTTGGTGGTGGACAGAATCTAATAGTTTGAGGTTGCTTTTGCAAGCCCCACCATAAACGAAGGAACCATAATCAAGTTTGGAACGTATGAGTGATCGATATAGATGTAGGAGGGTAGCTTGATCCCCTCCCCACTTAGAATTGGAAACGACTTTCAACATGTCAGGTGCCTTGAGGCATTTAGTTTTAAGGGACTTAATATGTGGTAGAACGTTAAGTGTGAGTCAAAATAATACCCAAGAACTTGGCCTCCTTCACAACTTTGATGGGAGTGCCATTTAGAGATAGTTCAGGGTCTTTATGCGGTTTGTATTTACGGCAGAAATGTATACAATTAGTTTTCGATTTAGAAAATTTAAAGCCGTTTTAAAGACACCATTTATTTATTTTGTTTAAACACAACTGCAGTTGCCGTTCAATAGAATGCATATTTTTACCGCGACAAGAAATATTAAAATCATCCACAAAAAGGATCCATCAATTGAATCATTTAAAACCTTGTATAAACTGTTGATCTTGATACTAAATAAAGTAACAGACAAAATACTGCCTTGTGGAACACCCTGATCCTGATTGTAATGATCAGACAGGGTAGAACCCACGCGGACTTGAAATTGTCTGTCATTTAAAAAATTAGCTATATATTGAGGCAAACGGCCTCGCAATCCGAAGCCATGTAAATCTCTTAATATGCCATATTTCCACGTAGTGTCATATGCCTTTTCAAGATCCAAAAGATAGACATAGCGTGTTGTTTATTAATTAGTGCGTTTTTAACAAATGATTCCAAACGCACTATGTGATCGACAGTACTTCTGTTTTTACTGAAACCACATTGTATATCGTTTATAAGGTTATTAGTATCCAAGTACCAAACAAGTCGATTATTTATCATGTGTTCCATGGTTTTGCAAACACAGCTTGTTAGTGAAATCGGTCGATAATTTGACGGGTCCGTATGATCACGTCCAGGCTTAGGTATTGGTACTACTGTAGCGTCACGCCATGAGGAAGGAAATTTCCCTGACGTCCAAATATCATCAAAAATGTGTAAGAGCGTCTCTAAACATGACTCTGGTAAGTGTTTCAGGAGTTGATAATGTATGTTATCAGCACCTGTAGCAGTATCGTGAGCTTGCTCAAGAGCAGTATGGAGTTCATGAATAGAAAATGTTTCATTATAATCTTCCCCATTATCTGAATTGAAATTAATAGTTTTCTTTTCTTCTTGTTTTTGATATTGTTGGAATTTAGGCACATGATTAGAAGAGGAAGAGTGTTTAGCTAGAGTTTCACCCCGTTTATTCGCAATATCTGATTTATTTGTAAGTAATTGGTCTCCATGTTTAAGATGATGGACACTAGATTTAGTACCTTTACCTTTAACTTTCTGGACCATGTTCCAAACCTTGGACATGGGCGTTCGAGAATTTATTTTGGATACATAATGTTGCCAAGATTGGCGTTTATTCTGTTTAAAGGTACGCCGCGCTTTAGCAAATAAGCTTGGTGAAACTCTTGCCAAACATTCTTCTTCGTCAAATCAGAATTTCAAAAATATCAGAAACAACAGGAGAAGAAGAGAATAAATTTTAACTCAGACAATGGCGAAGACTATAATGAACTATTTTCATTACATGAGCTCCACACTGCCTTTGAGCAAGCTCATGATACATCAACGGGAGCTGATAATATTCACTATCAGCTCTTGAAGCATTTACCTGAATCATGTTTGGAAACACTTCTAAATATTTTTGATTCAATATGGACTTCGGGGAATTTCCCAACTTAGTGGCGTAATGCCATTGTTGTCCCCATTCCAAAACCTGGCCGGGATCATACTGATCCGTCTAATTACAGACCAATCTCTTTAACGAGTTGTGTCTGTAAAACCATGGAACGAATGGTAAACAATAGATTAACTTGGTATCTTGAAACCAATAACCTAATTACAAATATTCAATGTGGTTTCAGGAAAAATCGTAGTACCATTGATCATTTGGTACGACTAGAATCCTTTGTTAAAAATGCTATAGTCAATAAACAACATGCAGTATCAATATTCTTTGATCTCGAGAAAGCGTATGATACCACCTGGAAGCATGGCATTTTAAAGGATTTACATGACTTTGGTTTGAGGGGTCGTTTACCTCTTTTTATATCACAGTTTTTAACCGACAGGCAATTTCAAGTCCGAGTGGGTTCAACCCTGTCTGACCATTATAATCAGGATCAGGGTGTCCCACAAGGCAGTATTTTGTCTGTAACATTGTTTAGTATCAAGATCAACAGTTTATCCAACGTTTTAAATAATTCAATCGAAGGCTCACTTTTTGTGGATGATTTTAACATTTCTTGTCGTGGTAAGAATATGCATACTATCGAACGGCAACTACAGTTGTGTTTAAACAAAATAAATAAATGGTGTCTTGGAAATGGCTTTAAATTTTCTAAATCAAAAACTAATTGCATACATTTCTGCCGTAAATATAAACCACATACAGACCCAGATCTGTTTTTAAATGGCACTCCCATCAAGGTTGTAAAAGAGATATCGCTGGAATATTGCTAAAAGCGGCGTAAAACCAAACTCACTCACTCACTCACTCACTCACTCTTTTTGAGGATTTGTACAACCAGAAATCTTCCCTTGTTCCGCCACTGGGGCTCAGAATGAAGCCATTCATTACTGCTGCCGGCATTGAGCTGGAGAATATAGCTCCTTCTCGTCTTCTTTCTTCTCCTCCGTGGCAATTGGTTAGGCCACAAGTTGACCTAACTCTGACAAAGTTTAAAAAATCAGAAACTAATGAATTACAATATAAACAAGAGTATAATCAATTAAAAAGTAAATATAATACATGTAAATCCGTATTTACAGATGGGTCCAAGGACGGTGGCGAAGTGGCATGTGGATGTCATTGGATCCAGAACAATCTTTTCTCGATTACCAAATAACAGCTCTATTTTCACAGCAGAAGCTAACGCCATATTAACAGCTCTTAAATATATTAATAAACACCGTAAATATAAACAATACATCATCTTTTCTGATTCTCTTTCGTGTCTTTAGGCTATTAAAAATCTTTCTTGTAAACATCCACTTTTATTAGAAATTATTGAATTGTATAATGAGCTGGCTACCGGCCAATGCGACATCGTCTTTTGTTGGTTACCCAGCCACGTTGGCATTTCTGGGAATACACAGTCTGATCTTGCTGCTAAGGCAGCACTCAACAAATCTGTGACACCACTTCTTATTCCATACTCTGATTACAAAGCCAGCATTAGAACTTACATCCGTGATCTGATGCAAAAGAAGTGGGACACTCAAGTAGGTATTAATAAATTACATGAAAAAAAACCTATATCGGTTACACCTACTTGGGTTGTCAGTCCAGATTTGAAGAGGTCATCATACGACGATGTCGTATTGGCCACACAAGATATACTCATGAATACCTTTTGAAAGGTGAGGATCCTCCATTTTGTATCCCTTGTGATGAAAGAATCACGGTCAAACATGTCTTGCTTGACTGTGTTGAGTATTCCATCACAAGGGATAAATATTTTAAATCACGAACTATGAAGGATCTTTTTAATAGTATCAGTTCTCATTTAATTATTGCATTTTTAAAAGAATTAGATTTGTTAAATGATTTGTAAAAACATAAATATTTTACGATTGGAAGTTTGAATTAGTAACTAAGATTATTAGTGGCTGTATCCTCGAGGGGGGTTAAAGTACTGTAAAATTATTGTCCTCCTGAGAGGGTATGTAAGTCCCAAAACATTCGACGTAAATTAAAACGTTCCACTTTTTTAATCGTAGAATACCTGTTCTTTTAATGTATGGCTAGATTTGCTAAATTGCTAACGGCTAAAGGGATGATGAAAATCCAGCTAGGGTCCATGCAGGAAGCAAATGTACTGTAAGTCCCCATGGTCCCTAGTATGGTGATCTACCTTCAGTTGTTGGCAATCTACAGCCGTTTTTTATATTGTATTGTCATTTAAAAGTAACATATTTTAGATTTAATTACTAGTTTTACATACATATCTGTGATATTCTAGTTGTTTTACTGTCCTTCGTCGGCAGGCTTTTTATAATATACATATATTTCATTTCAATATCGAGTGTTCTCGTCACGATATGGCTGAAATATTGCCGACGTGACGTTAAATATTAACTCACTCACTCACTGTGATTTTAAAATATGGCTAAATTCGACTGCAATCGCCAGCGGCTGAAGGGATTATGTAAATCCAGCTAGGGTCCATGCAGGTAGCAAAAGTAGTGTAAGTCCCAATGGTCCCATCTTCCCTCCGTTGCTTGTGATCTCCAGCCCGTTTTTATATTGTGTTGTCCATAATAGATGTTTCATTTTAAAGTTCCACGATAGTTTGGACTTTCTGCCTGTTATTATCTAGTCTTTTTGCTATCCTTTGTAGACAGATTTTATAATATAACTTTATCTATTACCCATAAATGAATTGTTTTAGTCACGATATGGCTGAAATATTGCCGGTATGACTATAATTTTAACTCACTCAATCATCAGTATTCAGGCTGTATAGCTTTCATATACACGTAATTGAGTGTAGAACAGACAACAGATGTGGATGTTTGTCTACTGTTTACTGTACATCTAAAAGTTTCTTTGATAAATTGCAGTGATATTACCAATCCAATGTTGAGCTGTAACTTACTCACAACTGTCCACCAATGTCCTCTTACTGTTGATATCTCTGGTGTCTCGTGAGAGGACGTGCTTTACCATTTCCAAATGTCCACCAGAACAGGCTATTTGGATTATGTCGTCACCGGAATTATCCTTCAGAGAAACATCAGATCCCCTCTCCACGAGTAACTCAAACACTTTGTAATGTCCAAAGTATGCCGCCGTCATTAAAGGTGTCCTTCCATAACGTCCTCTGCTGTTGAGGTCCAGTTTGGTATAAGAGAGGACATACTTTACCAATTCAAAATGTCCTTCAGAACAGGTTATGTGAAGGATGTTGTCACCATTAGCATCTCTTAGAGAAACATCACCTCCTCTCTCCACGAGTAACTCTAACACTTTGTAATGTCCCAAGTATGCCGCCATCATTAAAGGTGTGTTTCCACAGTGTCCTCTGCTGTTGATGTCCAGTTTGATATGTGAGAGGACATACTTTACCATGTTTAAATGCCCACCAGAACAGGCTCTATGAAGGATGTTGTTATCATTAGCATCTCTTAGAGAAACATCTCCTCCTCTCTCCACGAGTAACTCAAACACATTTTTTTGTCCAAAGTATGCCGCCGCCATCAAAGGTGTCCTTCCATAATGTCCTCTGCTGTTGATGACCAGTTTGGTATATGAGAGGACATACTTTACCATTTCATTATGTCCTCCAGAACAGGCTCTATGAAGGACGTTGTCACCATTAGCATCTCTTAGAGAAACATTACCTCCTCTCTCCACGAGTAATTCAAACACTTCTTTATTTCCCATGTACGCAGCCTCCATCAAAGGTGTCGTTCCTAAACCCCCTTTGATGTTGATGTCCAGTTTGTTGAGTGAGAGGACATACTTTACCACGTTTAAATGCCCAGCATAACAGGCTCTATGAAGGACGTTGTCACCATTAGCATCTCTTAGAGAAAGATTACCTCCTCTCTCCACGAGTAACTCAAACACTTTTCTATGTCCCAAGTATGCCGCCGCCATCAAAGGTGTCCCTCCGTAACGTCCTCTGCTGTTGATGTCCAGTTTGTTTAGTGAGAGGACATACTTTACCATTGCAAAATGTCCTCCAGAACAGGCTACATGAAGAATGTTGTCATCATTAGCATCTCTTACAGAAACATCACCACCTCCCTCTACGAGTAACTCAAACACTTTTCTATGTCCCAAGTATGCCGCCCCCATTAAAGGTGTCCCTCCGTAACGTCCTCTGCTGTTGATGTCCAGTTTGGTTTGTGAGAGGACATACTTTACCATTGCAAAATGTCCTCCATAACAGGCTACATGAAGAATGTTGTCATCACGAGCATCTCTTAGAGAAAGATTACCTCCTCTCTCCACGAGTAACTCAAACACTTTTCTATGTCCAAAGTATGCCGCCGCCATCAAAGGTGTCCCTCCGTAACGTCCTCTGCTGTTGATGTCCAGTTTGGTTTGTGAGAGGACATACTTTACCATTGCAAAATGTCCTCCAGAACAGGCTACATGAAGAATGTTGTCATCATTAGCATCTCTTACAGAAACATCACCACCTCCCTCTACGAGTAATTCAAACACTTTTTTATGTCCAAGGTATGCAGCATTCATCAAAGGCGTCCTCTTGTCACGTCTTCGTCTGTTGACGTCCACGTTGTCCTGGGATAGGATATATCTCACTGTCGCTATATCTCCACCGTTACATGCCATGTGAAGAATGTTATTACCCTCAGTGTCTACATGTGACAAATCACAGCCTTTTTTCACAAGAAGGTCAAACACGTTTCCATATCCTTCGTGCGCTGCTACCATCACTGGCGTCCTGTTGTACTGTCCCGTCCTACTGTTTATGTCCACTTCTCCTTCTGTCAAGATGTTCCTCACCTGGCACATGTCCCCCTCACAGCAAGCAGTGTGAAGTTGGTTGTTTACATCTTTGATGTTCTTGTCTCGTTTCTTTTGAAGGCACCTGTCTGGACAGAACTGCTTCTTTCCACCTAATAATGTAGATAATCATATGACACACATATATAATTATGTATGTTGTGATCGGGCTTAGTTGTACACTGTTTAGCAATGTTTCAACTTTTATGCATTGTACCTGTACATTCATCATGGGCAGTGGAATGCTGTATTCAGACTTTTTCTAGATTTCATGTGCTTTATAATAAAGGGAGTTAAGGCTTGCCTACTCATCTCTCAATACATCTCAAGCAACAAGAAGACCATCATGAGGACAGTGTTATGAGGCGGTGTTATACATTGTGCAACAAAGTTTGACCTGTTATACATTGTTCTCGAAGAGGCAGTGAAGGGCAGAGATGATAATTATTTAGACTTGTAATATATTTTAACTGAGTGCTGGAACTTACTAGAGCCCTACTCTGATCCATAGAATATTATAGAAAGATCTGCTTCAGCGTAGAATTTTCTTGCAACATATGTTTGTGTATAGAAGGAAAGCAAGCTATTACCTCTTTGACATTCTTATATTACAAGACACCGGAAGACAAGCATTGTGTGTTATGCTCAGCTACCCACCCCCAACCTGGACACACAAGAGTACTGGTTCTGAGAGTGGAATATTACACTCATTGTCTTTATTGCTATCATCGATATGGCTGAAATATTGCCGATGTGACGATAAATATTAACTCACTCACTCACTCACTATTGCTATCATTACCGCTCTTGTATTATACTCCCTCTGAATTTGTATTGCCACTCTAGTGTGTACTGGTGATACCTATGTAATGTACCTTTGTATTGATTTATGAACTCAGTCAATTTTAGAATACAATTGTATATTTCAGCACGTGTCTTGTCGTTTGTTGGTTTCACACATAGTTCTTTTACAGACTGATTCCTGGTTGACATTTAGTTTCCCGGCTAACCCGGGATAGAAATTTAATATATCAAACATTAGAAGTAAACATTTCTGGATTAACATTCTATTGTCTTCAAACCGAAATATGAGCCTCATTAACCAATACAGACAATTACCTACTTTCTGTCGATCCGAATGTTCTCGTGTGAAAGTGAAAAGAGGCACTACAAACAATTATGGTTACACTGAATTCCAATTTCTTGTTTCATACGAAAATGGTATTTACAGATGGATCTTAATTTTCAACTTTAATAAAATCGTATTTCTATATTTTATGGTGAGGTTTAGGCAGCATGACCTTAACTACTGGCAAACAATGATACCGGCGCAGAGAACGCGTTTACGAGAAGTAGGGTGCACGGCAATGAGCAAACCCATGTGGTTTGTGAAAGGTAGAGCAGATATAGGCTAGTGCACATGCATTGCATGAAGATGAAATTGATTCCTCCTACTGTCGAACTCGGTGTTTGCTGAGACAGGCCACGCGTTCACCCACCGCACTACAACTGATCCTTGTTTGCCAGTAGGACGTCACAGACTGCCCCTGTTTGATGAGGTCGTAAAATGATTCAGAAGTCATCTGGCTCAACAGCATTGGTTACACCTGTTATGTGCGCTTAGTCAGTGTATTTTTTAAACGTAAACGTGCAATGTCCGTACCAGACCACCAAACTTTTCTAGCGACTGGGCCTCGTTTTGATATTTCCACGATTTCTAGATTTCCGTTTGTCTGAGCACGCTGTACGAGAGCACGTTGCACGACGTGTTTGCAGAGATTAGAAGGAGCGTAGTGTTGCAATATAAAGTGCTTAGATGTATCAAATAATACTGTTTAATATTTATATATCCAGTTGAATGAATTATTGGTCTCAAAATTCTGGACTGGTTATTGTACTAAGTTGCGCTCAGAAGTTGTTTGATCAAGGTTACAATATTCAAGGCCTCAGTAAAGCTTTCAAGAATTTTCAAGGTAGCTATGTGGAGGGAATTTCCAAATTTGACGTATCAGTGACAAACATGATGCCAGATGCAATATCCTATTTTGACATATCTGCCCTTTGTCGACAGATATTTTAAAATGATTATCTTGCTTTCATCGCTATATGGCTGTAATATTGCCGATGCGATTTAAAAATTAACTCACTCACTCACTATATTGACTTATACCATAAATTCCCAAATTATTTCAGATGAACAAATGATTAGACTTAGACTTAGCATATGTTTATGACGGGTGCCACCGGTGGGGCAGGATACGCTTACCTTTTCGCGAACACCCGATATCATCACTATTTCATAGTGATCATAAACACATGCTCTGTCATGGTATCGCATAGTGACAATCACTGGATTCTCTGGTTCAGACACGATTTGTTTACAAACAACATAGTACAGCTGTCTGTAATACTGCTGAAACAAATATCTGCTTATGATATAGTCACAACTGTACAATTGACTGCTTATGGCCGAGATTTCTTATGAATGTGGAAAGGGTTTTGTCACTTCGTTGTTCACTTCTATACGAATGGTATTCTTTCAGGGTCATAACTTGCCAGTTCAGGTAGATTTTGAAGTTATAAGCTATCTTTCAAGCTGATAAAACGCCACAAGTCAGTGCTAGTATCAATTACCTTTTAGACAGGCAGCTTTTCCGGACCGAGTCCTAATGCATAGTGAACCTAGAAGGCATGACTTGGATCCACAGTCGCCCGTCAAGACCTGCAAACAAGTAATGAATATGTGTGTATTTTGGGTCTATTTTCAAAAGAAACATCGTGGACATCATGTTTTTGAAGGTTGCACGAACCGATTGTCAAAATGTCGACTTCAAAACTGATACAAGAGGTTAAACAAGATATCTGTACTAAAAATAACTCAGTGTTAAACCAACAAACAAAGACATTTTATATAATTCACAACTGTATTTAGAAATTAACTAGTTTTTCTAGTCATTGCAAATTACTGCCAGTGGAAGCGTAACGACCAGTGGTATATCAGTAACATTGGAAATATAATGTAGAAAATCAGTGGTTGAAACATGATCGTCAGTGTAATGATGTTCTTGTACAACGTCTCAATGTTACAAATGGTTTGCCCCATCACACACCGTGTTGCCTGATCCTCTCTTAGCTCCATACTTGTAACAGGTATCATTCTGAGCCAAAACAATGTTTGATTAATTAATAATACGCTTAATGTAAAACGTTTTCAGTCCAGACAATCTCAAGTGCTGAATATATTATATTACTAATAGTTAGTTGCGATAATGATATCCAATGTATTTAGACATCATTTTGAGCCAAAACAGATGAATTGTGTATTGTGTAACATCTATTATTTAAATCTAAAGGAACCTGTGTGTTTTCTTCTTGACAAGAAATGATCGTAAGCATGCAGCTTGACCAACATACTGTGCGTGCACACAATTGATGTTAGCCGAAACATACCACTTTGTAGAAGTTACCGGGGATACTTAACCTAAAGTGTAATATATTCCTCTTCCTAGTGAGTGTTTATGTTTAGTTGTTAATATGGGGGAAATCTACATATTCTCTTTTCCTACTGTCAATTATTGCGTTTATTTGAATATAATACCTTTCAGATTCAATTCCACCTATTAGCCAAGTCACATCACTGTTAATCACATTTTATTTCCTACTGTCATACTGAATGGTAAATGGTCTATATTCATAACATAAATCAATTTTTATACCCTGTGAATGTGCGTTTAAGTGGAAAATATATAGGTGATTGGGTTTTTTTTGTAAATCCCGAAAGGGGCAGAGACTTAGTATAGTTTAACTAAACACGTTATGATATATAAGTTGTTGAGTTGAGTTGGGTTTTGCGTCACATCGGCATTATTCCAGCCATATAGTGACGAGAACAAGTTTGCATTAACAAACATTGTAAGTACATACTCGGAATGAGTTTTATTTAAAAAACATATCAAATTTAAAGGCAGGCAATTTGTTAGCCACATTTCAGTTACAATTTATGATAGTTACATTTCACAGTTACAATTTATGGTACAGATCAACTTCCCTCAGGTAGTTCACTATCAGATGAGCGCTCACGCGGGAGAACAGATCTTTTAGGTTTCTTGCATCATAATGTGAGTCATTTGCAGACGATAAGTCCACGCATTCAAGCAGAATATGATTGTAAAGTTCTAAAATGTCCAGAATGATTGGGTGACTTGAAGTAACATTTTGAAGTGCGTGAAGGCAAGATAATGAATCTGTGAAAACGATGAAGTTTTTGGAATGATTCTGCTGTTTAATATAGGTCAAAGCTGAAAAGATAGCTTTGGCCTCGGCAGTGAAAATGGAACTGTTGTCGGGAATCCTAGAGGACACAGTCTTAGATCCAATGACTGTAGCACTGGCGACTTGGCCCTCATCCTTGGATCCGTCTGTGAAAATGGATCTATGGGTGTCATACTTGGAACGTAACTGGATGTATTCCTGCTGGAACACCAAGGGATTTGTTTCAGACTTTTTGAATTTAGTGAGGGTAAGATCGACCTGTGGTTTCACCATCTGCCAGGGTGGTGAAGACAGGAGTCGGTAGGGTGCTATGCTATTGAGATCAATTTTAGCTGCTGATATGTCTGGTTGAATTCTGATTCCAAGTGGTGGTATCAGGCTCGGCAGTTTAGGAACACAAGTTATCATAGAGAGGGTTGAAAACACAATTGTATGCTGGATTGGACTGATTTGAACGTAGTTTAGTGATATACTGCAGTGAAAGTTTAATGCGGCGTTGTTCAAGGGAAGGTTCGTTAGCCTCTGCATATAGACTGTCTACCGGAGAGGTCCTAAAAGCTCCCAGGCAGAGCCTCAGGCCTTGGTGGTGAATAGAATCTAATTTTTCTAAATTGCTTTTGCAGGCTCCACCATAAACAATGGAGCCGTAGTCTAGTTTAGAGCGAACCAAAGATCTGTACAAGTGAAGGAGGGTAATCTGATCCCCTCCCCACTCTGTATTTGCAACGACTTTTAGTAAGTCCAGAGCCTTCAAGCATATATTTGGTTTTCAAATATTTTATGTGTGTCAAGAATGTCAGGTGGCGGTCGAATATGAGTCCAGGGAATTTGGCCTCTTCTACTACCTTGATGGGAGTACCATCTAAAGATAGGTCTGGATCCTAGTGTGGTCTGTATTTACGACAAAAGTGAATACTATTTATTTTGGATTTTGAAAACTGAAAGCCATTTTCATTGGCCCATTTTTGGATTTTGTTAAGGCAGAGTTGTAGCTGCCTTTCTTTTGCGTGCATGTTCTTACCACGACATGAAATATTGAAATCGTCCACGAAAAGGGACCCATCAACACAACTGTTCAGGACGTTAGTGAGGCTGTTAATTTTGATGCTAAAAAGGGTGACAGACAGGATGCTGCCTTGAGGGACTTACAAGGTTCTTATCAACCCAAAGCCTGAACATGTTTTGAACTGAAACATTTTTATGAAAACTGATGGATATAGTTAATAGCATCGTTGTAAGAGTCGTTATATCAAATATTAGTGAGTGAGTGAGTTATTATTTAACGTCACATCGGCAATATTGCAGCCATATCGTGACGAGAACATATTTGATTTTGAAGTGGAATATATGTATATTATAAAACCTGTCGACGAAGGACAGTAAAACAACTAGAATATCACAATTACAACTAAAACTAGTATGGAGAGTTAAAACTGATAGCACTATTTGGACAATACAATATAAAAACAAGCTATATATCGCCAACACCAGAAGGAAGATCACCAAACTAGGGACCATGGGGACTTACAGTACCTTGGCTACCTGCATGGACCCTAGTTGGATTTACACCATCCCTTCAGCTGCTGGCGATTGTAAGAAATGTTAGCCAAAATTAAAATGACAAGAATACTACGGTTTAAAATCCTGGCAAGTTTAAATGGACTTTGAACATTTTGGGACTTACGTACCCTCTAAGGAGGACAATAATTTTACACTACTTCAACCCCTTTTGAGGGTACAGCCACAAACAATCTCAGTTACTAATCTAAACTACCAATAATAAAATATATATCTATTTACAAATCAGTTAGCAAGTCAATTTTTTTTAAAAAGGCAATAACTAAATGAGATCTTATATTACTAAAAAGATCCTTCATAGTTTTTACTTTGAAATAGATATCCCTTGTGATGGAATATTCAACACAGTCAAGCAGGACATGCTTGACCGTGATTCTTTCATCACAAGGGATACAAAACGGAGGATCCTCACCTTTTAATAGGTACTCATGAGTATATCTTGTGTAGCCAATACGACATCGTCGTATGATGACCTCCTCAAATCTGGACTGACAACCCAAATAGGTGTAACCAATATAGGGTTTTATTGCATGTAATTTATTAATACCTACTTGAGTGTCCCACTTCTTCTGCATCAGATCACGGATGTAAGTTCTAATGCTAGCCTTGTAATCAGAGTATGGAATAAGAAGTGGTGTCACATATTTGTTGAGTGCTGCCTTGGCACCAAGATCAGCCATTGTGATCCCAGAAATGCCAACGTGGCTGGGTAACCAACAAAAGACGATGTCGCATTGGCCAGTAGCAAGCTCATTATACAATTCAATAATTTCTAATAAAAGTGGATGTTTACAAGAAAGATTTTTAATAGCTTGAAGGCAAGAAAGTGAGATGATATATTGTTGATATTTAGGGTGTTTTTTAATATATTTTAAGGCTGTATATATGGCGTTTGCTTCTGCTGTGAAAATAGAGCTGTTATCTGGTAAACGAGAAGAGATTGTTCTGGATCCAATGACAGTGGCACAAGCCACCGCGCCACCACCCTTGGAACCATCTGTAAATAAAGATTTATATGTATTATATTTACTTTTTAATTGATTATATTCTTGTTTATATTGTACGTCATTTGTTTCCGATTTTTTAAACTGCCAAGGAGGGGAAGAAAGAAGACGGGAAGGAGCTATATTTTTCAGCTCAATGCCGGCAGCAGCAATAAATGGCTTAATTCTGAGCCCAAGAGGGTGAACAAGAGAAGATTTTTTTTATACAAATCCTCATAAAGAGGATTAAAGACACAGTGAAATGCAGGATTAGACTCGTTAGAATATAATTTTGTAACATATTGTCAAGATAATTTTATACGGCGTTGGTTAAGAGAAGGTTCATCTGCCTCGACGTAAAGACTGTCAACAGGAGAAGTTCTGAAGGACCCAAGACAAAGTCTCAGACCTTGATGGTGGACTGAATCTAAGAGTTTTAGGTTGCTTTTACAGGCTCCACCATATACGATGGAGCCATAATCAAGCTTCGAGCGGACAAGTGATCTGTAAAGGTGTAGGAGCGTAGCTTGATCCCCTCCCCACCTTGAATTAGACACGACTTTCAATAAATCGAGTGCCTTCAGGCATTTAGTTTTTAGATATTTGATATGCGGAAGAAAAGTTAAATGGGAGTCGAAAATGAGACCTAAGAACTTGGCCTCTTTTACAACCTTGATGGGAGTGCCATTTAAAAACAGTTCTGGGTCTTTATGTGGTTTATATTTACAGCAGAAATGTATGCAATTAGTTTTTGATTTAGAAAATTTAAAGCCGTTTTCAAGACACCATGTATTTATTTTGTTTAAATTCAACTGTAGTTGCCGTTCAATAGTATGCATATTCTTACCGCGACAAGAAATGTTAAAATTATCCACAAAAAGTGATCCATCAATTGAATCATTTAAAACCTTGGATAAGCTGTTAATCTTAATACTAAACAATGTTACAGACAAAATACTTCCTTGTGGGACACCCTGATCCTGATTGTAATGATCAGACAGGGTTGAACCCACTCGGACTTGAAATTGCCTGTCTTTTAAAAACTGTGACACAAAAGGAGGTAAACGACCCCTTAAACCAAAATCATGTACATCCCTCAAAATGCCATGCTTCCAGGTGGTATCGTATGCTTTCTCGAGATCAAAGAAGATCGATACAGCATGTTGTTTATTTACTATTGCATTTTTGACAAAGGATTCTAAACGTACCAAATGATCAATGGTACTACGATTTTTCCTGAAACCACATTGGATATTTGATATCAGGTTATTGGTTTCAAGATACCAAGTTAATCTATTATTCACCATTCTTTTCATGGTTTTACAGACACAACTCGTTAAAGAGATTGGTCTATAATTAGACGGATCAGTATGATCCCGGCCAGGTTTTGGAATAGGGACTACAATGGCATCACGCCAGGAAGTTGGTAAATTCCCTGAAGTCTATATTGAATCAAAAATATTTAGAAGTGTTTCCAAACATGATTCCGGTAAATGCTTCAAGAGCTGATAGTGTATGTTATCAGCTCCTGTTGCTGTTTCATGAGCTTGCTCAAGGGCAGTGTGTAGCTCATGTAATGAAAATAATTCATTATAGTCTTCGCCATTGTCTGAGTTATAATTTATTCTCTTCTTCTCCTGTTGTTTCTGATAGTGTTGAAATTCAGGGACGTAATTTGACGAAGAAGAGTGTTTGGCGAGAGTATCACCAAGCTTATTGGCAATGTCAGACTTACCAGTTAATATATACTGAAAGGCAAAAGAAATGTCGTAATATTGGAAATGACATTTAAGTATCAATGGAACATTTGAACCTATTTTTTAAAATAATACGCCACTGAAATGCAGTACCGACTTTCATCAGAGAAGATAACCCCTCTCCATTGTCCACCACGACAGTTTTGCCGCTGTTGTGTCCACTTGGATACGTTCCCGGGGGTGACGTTGGGTGAATATGGGTCTCCTGGCAGGACATCGACAAAACAGGTTCCTGGCTTGGAGACGTCGCCGAATGGTAGGTCACTGACTGGTCACTGGTGGTTTCCTATGGTCACCCAAGCTGTTTCTCTGGCCCTTGTGAATAGGTCTTGCACGTGTTGATGGACGATATGACGGTCCTGGCGACGTTTTGTTACACGGGGTTGACCACTACGTGGACGGTCATCAGTGCTGCTGGTGGCGTTGTATCGCACTCTAAGACGTTCTATCGTTCGTACGCTGCCACTGAAGTCATTAGCTATGACTCGAGCATGTTGACCAGCGTGCAGACGTCCAATAGCTTGTTTCGGTTGATCTCTCGTTAACCTAGTCATAGCTGCTGTGTTCAGAAAACAAGTGAACGATTGCCATTCAAGCCGGCAATTTATGCCTGAATGTATTTATGATGCACGTGCATCTCGATTTCAATGTTGTGTTTGTGGGAACTTTTCCCTCTCCAAAAACCAAAAACATTTCTAACTTCAATCTCTAACAATACTTTATTGGGCAATGCAGGCTATCCGACCACGATTCATGTTTCCTCAAACTTGACTTCTGGTGTATATTTAAAAAAATAGGTTCAAATACTCCATTGATACTCAAATGTCATTTCTAATATTACGACGTTTCTTTTGCCTTTCAGTATATTATCTCCATCCTTCAGATGATGGACAGTAGATTTGGAACCTTTGCCCTTAATTCTTTGGATCATGTTCCACACCTTTGATATTGGTGTGCGTGAATAATTTTAGATACATAATGTCTCCAGGACTGACGTTTACTCTGTTTAAATGTACGTCTAGCCTTTGCGCTGTTTATTTTTACAGTATTGAAATGATGAAGGTTGTCGCCGGAAATACTTTTCTGCCTTTTTCCTACATTTTCTAGCTCGTTTGCAATCATCTGTAAACCATGGTTTACGTATGTGTGCGTTCTTACAGGACTTAGGAATAGTTTCATCAGCTATACTTTTCAGTTTCTCTGAGAATAACTGAATTGGGTCTGAAATACTTCTGAAAGTTTCAGGCTTCAGTGTTCTGGAACAAAGAGTTTGAATGCTTTGGCAAAATTCCATTTGGTCACAGGTGGCTCATCAGTAGGGTTTATAGCTTTAAGTAGTGTAGGGAAATGATCACTTCCACATCGGTCATCATGGACAGACCAGTCAAATTCATTTAATAAAATGGCATCTGTCAGAGTCAGATCCAATGCTGAATAAGTTCCCGTGGCAGGATGTAAGTACGTGTTGGAGCAATCATTTAAGATACATATGTTATTGTCAGAAATAAAATCTTCAATTACTTTGCCTTTAGCATTAGTACTAACACTTCCCATAGAGAGTTATGTCCGTTTAAATCACCCATGATAAAACAGGGTTTTGGAAGCTGAGCATATAAAGCTTGTAGATCCGCCTGCTGTAACGCCGAAGAAGGTGGACTGTACAAAGAACAAAGTGTTAAGGCAATGTGAAATATAAGTCGAACTGCATGCAACAGCTTGAAGATTAGTAGTTAATGGAACAACACTATGAATAACATCCTGTCTTACCAAGATAGAAGAACCTCCAGTGGCTTTTGCACCTGGAGGTGAAAAGAGATTATACAAATTTTATTTTCTGATATCACATTTATCTGTGTCTCGAAGATACGTTTCTTGTAGACACATTGCTGATGGTGTAAAATCCTGTATTAAAATCTGTAAATCATTAAAGTTATTCCTAAGTCCTCTACAATTCCATTGGATATTGTGCTGGATGACTGCGTCATGGTGGCTCTATTGGCGATCGTTCACGGTGCAAGGAGGACGGATTTTTACCGCTCTGAGACAAAGGGGTTGTGTCCATATCAAGTGCTTCAAAAGAGTTATGGACAACTATATCTGAAGATGAAGTTTTCCTATTTGTCTGTTTTCTATTGAATTTCTTTCTTTCATTTTTGGTCAAAAGTTGAGAAGCTGGTGGTGCTGTGACTGGTACATTGGGAACACCAAGTACATTGACATCAATCTGAGCTTGATTTACAGTTTGGGTTGAAGATGTGTGTGACTCACTGACTGAAGTTATGTTAGAGGGTTGATCTGATTTGAGCCTTGTCAAATCAGTCTGAACAGAAACTGAAGTGCATTTACTAGTAGAAGTAGCAGCAACTGCAGAAAAAGTTTTATTGAGTGGAATTGGTGACTGATTTTCAACAAATGTTTTTGCTTCATAAAACGAGATGTTTTTTTCATGTTTGACCTTAAGTATTTTAGACTGGTTTTGCCACACAGGACATAACCTTGATGAAGCAAGATGGTGTCCTTTGCAATTTGCACATTTGATGTCTGCTGAGCAATCTGCGTTCTCATGTCCCTCTCGACATCGGTGACAAACAGCAGATCGATTGCATGATTTGGAGCCATGTCCAAATTTTTGGAACTTGAAACATCGGAGTGGATTGGGGACATACACCTCCACTCCGATGTTGACATAACCAGCTTTTATGTATTTGGGTAAGGCAGACAATGAAAAGGTAAACAGATATGTATTTGAGGGAATGATATCACCGTCCCGGGTCTTCACTGTAAAACGTTTGACTGTTGTAAAACCTTGATTTTGTAATTCGTTTGAAATATCTTCTTCGGACATGTCGGACAGGCAACGTGCTCTGTCACGAACAATGCCGCGACAAGTATTTAACGTTTTGTGTGCAAACGCAACGACCTCAGTGTTTACAAATGTTTTCAATGATAACAGGTTAAGAGACTGTTGCTTCCGCAAACACTCAATAAGAAGCGATCCACTACGAAGACGTGTCACATTCTTTACTTCTCCGCAAATTCCTGAAATGGCTTTAGAAATTGCAAACGGGTTGAGCTTAAGTGGCCGCTTTGTCTGCTGCTTCAATGATAATAAATCGAGACCATGAATCAAGTACAGGAGATACATTGTGATCAGTTTCATCTGAATCAACATGTCGACGTTAAGATCTGTTTGAACCAAGGTTTTGTTGAGCCATAGTGGAAATAATGGGATTCAGCATCCCTGCTCCCCACCCATCATGGAGTGCAAAAAAGAGCGGTGTTTAATTGCATCGGATCTCCAACATGCAAACACCAGGGATACAGGGATGGTATACTTCAGCAAATATGACGCGAAAAGCTGCGTAAGTTTACCAAATTAAATGTCTGGCTGGTTCGCCCATAACAAGAAATAGGAAACATACAGATTTCGGAGGTCAACATCACCGAATTGGCCAATGAGCCACCGCCTTCTGGCATGAGACTCTAGGCAGATTTAATTTTGATAACGTAAAACGTTAGCCAAGACCAATCAAAACATAGTACATATTCAAAAAAATGTATATGCACATAAATCATGCGCAGGGCTTGGCTTGACCAGCCGACTGGTTGAACCGGGCCCATTCAACCACCCGTCTAGGTGAAGTCAGGGGCGAAGTGGTGTGTTGGGCAAAGGAACACTGTTCCTGGAACCAGTGCCCTCAACCACAAGACTCCCTTCCTCCACCGACACAGGGGCGCAACCCACGGCCAACAGGTTGGTGGACCAAATATACCCCCGGGTCCACAACGGGGGGTCGAAGAGCGCTTAGCCTGACCCAGCACCCACCACGAGGAGGTGGCTCTTCACGGGTGCCATATCAAATATTAACTCATGCATATTTTTAGGGGAATTTAATCAAGTCTCGTTTGTTGTGTTGCAGTCCTTTATGGTGAAAGTGACCAACACAAAACTTGCTTTCAGTTCAGACAATTTCAAATGATGATGAGGTTATCTTACTGATAATTAGTAGTGATGATGATGTATTTAGACACCATTTTCATATTTGTTCATACTCTCCCAAATGATGTTTCCCGACCTATGAAACAAATGAGATGTTATATAATCAATATTTACCGGAAGATAAACTTGAAACGACGTAGGAGGGAAATTCGTGTTGTTTCCTTAACTTTGATGTGTGTGAGTGAGTGAGTTAAGATTTAAAAGTCACATCGGCAATATTTCAGCCATATCGTGACTAAAACTAGTTCTAAATTTATAATTTATAATACATACATATAATATATAAAAACCCTGTCAACGAAGGACAGTAAAATAACTAAAGTATCACAGATGGAGTCTAAAACTAGCATGAACATGTAAAACTATTTGAATTACGAAAACAATACAATATAAAAACGGGCTATAGATCGCCAACAACTGAAGGTAGATCACCATACTAAGGCCCATGGGGACTTACATTACTTTTGCTACCTGCATGGACCCTAGCTGGATTTACACCATCCCTTCAGCCATTGGCGTTGATACTGAGATTTAGCCATACATTAAAAACACAAAAATACTACGATTAAAACCTGGTACACTTAAACTGACTTGGAAATGTTTTGGGACTTACGTACCCTCGCAGGAGGACAATAATTTTACGCTACTTCAACCCCCTTTGAGAGTACAGCCACTAACAATCTCAGTTACTAATCTAAACTACCAATAATAAAATATATATCTATTTACAAATCAGTTAGCAAGTCTAATTTTTTTAAAAGGCAATAATTAAATGAGAACTTATATTACTAAAAAGATCCTTCATAGTTTTTACTTTGAAATAAATATCCCTTGTGATGGAATATTCAACACAGTCAAGCAGGACATGCTTGACCGTGATTCTTTCATCACAAGGGATACAAAACGGAGGATCCTCACCTTTTAACAGGTATTCATGAGTATATCTGGTGTGACCAATACGACATCGTCGTATGATGACCTCTTCAAATCTGGACTGACAACCCAAGTAGGTGTAACCGATAGTGGGTTTTATTGCATGTAATTTATTGATACCTACTTGGGCATCCCACTTCTTTTGCATCAGATCACGGATGTAAGTTCTAATGCTTGCTTTGTAATCAGAGTATGGGATCAGAAGTGGTGTCACAGATTTGTTGAGTGCTGCCTTGGCAACAAAATCGGCCATTGTATTACCAGAAATGCCAACGTGGCTGGGTAACCAACAGAGGACGATGTCGTATTGGCCAGTTGCAAGATCATTATATAATTCAAAAATTTCTATTAAAAGCGGATGTTTACAAGAAATATTTTTAATCGCCTGAAGGCAAGAAAGAGAGTCAGAAAATATTATATATTGTTTATATTTAGGGTGTCTATTTATATATTTAAGAGCTGTTAGTATTGCGTTTGCTTCTGCTGTGAAAATTGAACTGTCATTGGGTAATCTGGAAGATATTGTTTTGGACCCAATGACAGTGGCACAAGCAACCGCGCCACCATCCTTGGACCCATCTGTAAATAAGGATTTATATGTATTATATTTACTTTTTAATTGATAATATTCTTGTTTATATTGCAATTCATTAGTTTCTGCTTTTTTAAACTTAGTCAGTGTGAGGTCAACCTGTGGCCTAACCAATTGCCAAGGAGGAGAAGAAAGAAGACGGGAAGGAGATATATTTTCCAGCTCAATGCCGGCAGCAGTAATGAATGGCTTAATCCTGAGCCCAAGAGGCGGAACAAGAGAAGATTTCTTGTTGTACAAGTCCTCATAAAGAGGATTAAAGATGCAGTGAAACGCAGGATTAGACTCGTTAGAATATAGCTTCGTAATATACTGTAATGATAATTTTATACGGGGTTGGGTAAGAGAAGGCTCATCTGCCTCGACGTAGAGACTGTCAACAGGAGATGTTCTAAAGGACCCAAGACAAAGTCTCAGACCTTGATGGTGGACTGAATCTAAGAGTTTTAAGTTGCTTTTACAGGCTCCACCATATACGATGGAGCCATAATCAAGCTTCGAGCGGACAAGTGATCTGTAAAGGTGTAGGAGCGTAGCTTGATCCCCTCCCCACCTTGAATTAGACACGACTTTCAATAAATCGAGTGCCTTCAGGCATTTAGTTTTTAGGAATTTAATATGCGGAAGAAAGGTTAAATGAGAGTCGAAAATGAGACCCAAGAATTTGGCCTCTTTTACAACCCTGATAGGAGTGCCATTTAAAAACAGTTCTGGGTCTTTATGAGGCTTATATTTTCTACAGAAGTGTAGACAATTAGTTTTGGATTTAGAAAATTTAAAGCCGTTTTCAAGACACCATTTATGTATCTTATTTAAACACAACTGTAGTTGCCGTTCAATAGTATGCATATTCTTACCGCGACAAGAAATGTTAAAATCATCCACAAAAAGTGATCCATCAATTGAATCGTTTAAAACCTTGGATAAGCTGTTGATCTTAATGCTAAATAAAGTGACAGACAAAATACTGCCTTGTGGGACACCCTGATCCTGATTGAAATGATCAGACAGGGTTGAACCCACTCGGACTTGAAAGTGCCTGTCTGTTAAAAACTGTGATATAAATTGAGGCAAACGGCCTCGTAATCCAAAGTCATGTAAATCTTTCAAAATGCCATGCTTCCAGGTGGTATCGTATGCTTTCTCAAGATCAAAGAATATCGATACTGCATGTTGGTTATTGACTATCGCATTTTTGACAAAGGATTCTAAACGTACCAAATGATCAATGGTACTACGATTTTTCCTGAAACCACATTGAATATTTGTTATCAGGTTATTGGTTTCAAGATACCATGTTAACCTATTGTTTACCATTCGTTCCATGGTTTTACAGACACAACTCGTTAAAGAGATTGGTCTATAATTTGACGGATCAGTATGATCCCGACCAGGTTTTGGAATAGGGACTACAATAGCATTACGCCACGAAGGTGGGAAATTCCCTGAAGTCCATATTGTATCAAAAAGAGTTAGAAGAGTTTCCAAACATGATTCTGGTAAATGCTTCAAGAGCTGATAG